CAAACTCCGCGAACAGCAATAGTCTTCGCGGCGTTTTGTCTCCCGTCGACTTATGTAAACGTAATTTTAATTTTGCTTACCAAAATCTGTTAACCCAGTGTGATAAATTAGTCGTCTTGTGTAGTGTTATTTTCGTGTAAAATTTCCACTTTTTGCAGCAGATCGTATTTTCTGATTTGACGCAGTCTTCCGTTTTCCCACCAAAACAATTGCGCGCGCGACTAATTTTCTTTGTTTTATATTTTTTCAGTTGTGATGAATGAAATGGCTATTAAAGACGACACCAAAACCAAGAACGACAACCAAGAACAAGAACGACAACAAAATGTGGCATAAACCTATTAAATGAACCCTGAGAATCTGAGAAGTCTCATGGGCCGCGGAGCAGGGGGCACTAGAAAAAATCGCGCACTTTAAAGGTTGTAAATTTGATGTAAATATTATGTAAGTGTTCAAAATGATGTAAATTTACATCAAATTTAAGCATCATCAAATTTACATCATTTTGGACACTTACATGATATTTACATCAAATTTACAACATATAACACATTTTCATGATGGACACCTAAAAACTTATCATGAAGTTGTCTACTACGGTATACATACTAAAGAATTAATTGCCGCTAAAAAAGTTTTCATTCATGCATTTAGAAGACWTATCTGGTAATCTTATCGTATTCTGAAGTACTTGTGGACTTTTTTTTTCGCGAGTTTCTGTGTTCTTTAAGCTTTAAATCGTCTAAAACGTGCAGTTATTATAGCGAAACAGCAGTCGGCCATATCTTGTTTATTTTCTTATATGGGCATAGATTGGGCAAAGGAAGCCCAAGTGACTTTTGACTTTTACTCCGACGAAGGATTAACGTCCGAAACGTCAGTAAGTTACTTCACCTACTTTTTTACGGTGTTTATTTTATCTTTTTACACAACTGTTTCTTTAGAAACACTGACGCAGCTCACACTAGTTTACCGCTAGTTCCCACCAAAGGAAGCCCAAAACTAGAACTCAACAACCATAATGCTTTGCTGTACAAAATGGCGTCGCTGCGTATTTCTATTATGTTCCATGCAATCCTATTCCCATCCAGTCCAATTCCATTGTTACGCACTGAGAACCTGAGTCAACATTCATTCAACAAAGAATTGAATTCGTTGAGAAGAGTGTACACGACCGTACGAGAAACCACAATAAAGGCACAGATCAAGTGTTTTTTTTCTTCACAAAATGTCCAAAAAATCCATGGTTCATTATGAATTGCGTGACAAATGGCTGCGTGAAATCTCCAGTTGATATCTATACTGTCATAACTAGGTTACCTAGTAACCAAGCATTTTGATTGTGACACGTATAAGTCCGTTCACGTTTTTTGCGGGTTTTCCGTCTTGCCGAATTATTAAAATGAGTGCAACGGTGATTGTTGCTGTCTCTGTGATGCTAGTATAATCATCATCATTTTCATCGACTGTGGAAAGACTTTTTAATTTTGCGAAAAGATTACAATAGATTGAAGCCTAATAGTCATGAAGGGAGACCTGCAAGGGGTTGTCATAACACAAAACTGCTAAGGCTTTCCCGCTTTTTTTGTCAAGCGCCGCTATTGAATGCGATATTTCGACGCGAAATCTACGTTGAAACCGTAAACCGCATTGCATGCAAATCGGCGATTTTCCGCAATCAAACAATGCCTTCACAACCATATGAGAGCAAGATCGAAAACCGACCTCTAAATCAGCAGAAACCGGCTAAGTGACAACCTAAAATATAGGCCCTTACAAACTGAAGTGCTGTTTTGCCGAAGTATCCATTTGAAATCAARCCAKWGAGCTTGGTCTCCTTCTTCCTTAGTGTCATACGATCCGAAGCCGAGTCAATTTTTTTATTATTTATTCCCAATATATAAATACATTTGTAAACAGATCGTGTGCTTTAAGTCAATTCATCCACACAAAAAAAGAAAAAAAAACTTCAAAAACGTCAAGGCTCATGCGTGCGCTAGAAGAAWAAAAGGAAGAAAACCGTCACGATCATTCCGTGGTTCAGCCATCTACCGAATTTATTCCACGAAATACTTCACAGAGCAACTGTTGATACTTCAGAGTCGTATCTTTTTTCGCTCCATACAAGGTACTTTTCAACTCGAAACAGTCATTGACCCACATCCCTTTTTTTACTGACCTGCACTTTGKCCAATCAAGCACATCCCTCTCCATCCCTCAATAAACGCAGAACCTGTTGTTATTTTGGCTATTGCTATTAGTTTAATTACTCTTGCAGAAACCTGGAGAGAAAGTTCTATTCAATTTTAATAGGTCTGCTTCTTTAAAAAWTATTTCTGTAAAGTTTTGGCTGGTKTGCAAGTCAGTGTAAGAAACACGATGCAGGCGCAAGGCAGAAGTAATCAACGTGAGTGGTTTTGAAGCAAAGTTGGTTTTGGAACTTCTTGCTTTCAGTCRCCCAGAACGATACTTTTTTGCTACGAGTTTACTTAGAATTTCCTTAGTTTCGAGATCTTTGCATAACARATGCTTACATGGGCTTAGCACATTTAGARAACCGTTTTTAAACAGTGATTTTCAAATTTTCGGTATTWSRAAGGAGACGGAAATGGTAKRTTTAAACGTCASTTAGTATTGACTTCGACACAGTTCCAAAGATTACAAATTTCAAAGTCCAATCCAGTCCACTTCGTTTCTGTGCTCACTTGACCTCGTCACCTTCGATAAAAAGAACCGAGATTGAGTTACGATCTTCTTTTGTTCAATTAACACATTGAAACATGGACGTCGATAATTTCCTCAAGAACATTGGTCAATTTGGACCATTCCAGATCCGAATTTTGGCCTTGTTTTTGTTTATATTTT